GTTCTCACGATGCAGTGCACCCTTCTCACCTCCTCCTCCTCCCTCCAGTCTGCAATCCGCAGTGGCAAGGACTCAAGAATGGTCAGCTATTGACTACCTGAGATGAGGTGGTTAGTGATTTCCTCTGGGCTTGTCATGGTGATAGGTTTGTGGATTCGTGGCATGACTCAGTAAATCTGCTGTGCATGTGTGTTTGTGAGGAAGGATTTACAATTCTTGCTTGTCTGCACAACTGTCATCTCGCCTTACAACTAGTCAGGACGTGGAGACAGACGTGTTGGGCCACCGACTGGCATCGGTGGCAGCATCTCTGCTTGGACCGACACATTGGTTTTGATGGCCAGCGCAGATGACGAGTCAATGAGTGTTCGAGACACGCGACTAAATCCTCACTTCGCTGTGCTGTAAGCAGAACTGCGCAAAGAGGTGGCGATTAATGCTGTCGGGGAAATGCCACACTCCTCGTGCTGCAATATCATTCCACTAGAGGGACGAGGGCTGTAGGCAGTAGACAAGGGAGGTAGTCGACTGATGTGTGGTGTAGCGACATTTCGTCATTCGCAAGGTTCCAGCAGCCATTCGTAGTTGTAAGATGTGTGTTGGGAGGTGGGAGGTGACTCGCTCCTGCTGTGCGCCAAACCCTGACTAGTCGAGTATTGCTGTGCTTACGAGTAGTTCATTCTTTTGACGACTCCACAGAAGCCATTCCAGATGCAATTTATGGTATACCACAGAGAAAGAGAGCACAGAGGGTTGTGCTGTGACAACTGACACAAACACTGGCAGCTGAGGTCATCAGGAATGGCTTCAGTATTCCTCAAAACCAGTCATCACAACGCAGTTGAGTCCAGAGTTGACTGAGTTGCCTTTTTAGATTGAAACGGAGGCGGCTCCAACATCGCCCTCATCAGAGGTGAGCAGTCGTGAGTGTCTGGAGGCGTCGTTGAGTGATGCACTGAACAAACTACTCTCTCAGCGCCGACAATACCTCTCGGACGATGGGGGTGAA